TCTTTGGGGAGACCACAAGTACGAACACCTCTGGTACGAACACCTCTAGCAGAAGCCTACTGAAATAGGGAAAATGGGAGAACCAAAATAGAGAAACACCTCTTCTATTCTGATTAGCAAACACAGCTGTCCCAAATTCCTCTATCTGTCTGTAAAACAAAGAGTTGGCTGATGGCTACCATTAAAAGCTGTGTATGACTATGCAGAGCTCTGGGAATGGGAAAGGGAGAGACAGACAGATGCTCTGGGATGAGTCTGAGACTTGTCAGCAGCCACGCAGCAAACGGAGGTTCTCTGTCACCCTCCATCTCCAAGGGCTGTACCAGACTCCGCTCTGTAGGTAGGCACACAAAATTGCTGCACTGTGGTTGGCAACATTTCACAAAGTACATGAAATGGTTGTGCTAAGTCTCAGTACAATTCACGGTGAAGGAACATCTACATGAAAAACCCAGCGTCCTAGCTGGTCTCAGGGGGAAGCGCATGGTGAGTCACCTTTGCTTGCACTTGTAACACAGGATCTAACAGTGTAGGAAGGTAGTGTGCTTGTTGGTATGGTGCAGTAACTTTTGTGCAAGCCAGGTAAGTTTTCAGACATTCTTACTTCAGTCGCTGTCAGGCAGCGGAGTAACACTGTTATTAAACAAAAAAAAATTGTGAACCAACTACAATCATCCCTCACAAACTTCTCAGCAGCTGCACATTTTGAGGAGTAATATAGCATTGTCTCTATTAAATGGCACTTGAAAAATCTGCCAAGACTGAGATGAGAGCAGATACAGCAAAACAAAGACAGCAAGTTCTACTCCTGACCCTGTAAAACGGTCGGCAGCCTTACCCACAACGCCTCTCAGGCCAGATTTCAGAACACAAATGGTGTTTGTGCACCTGCTTTTCAGTGGTCCCCCGGACTTCCACCAGCTTCTACAGGCACGAAGGCAGGACAAGCCAGCAGAGCTGGCAGAGGTGGAGCCACTGCTCTGCTAACTGCTTGTTGGAAAGACACCAAACGCACCAGTCTAAGCTGAGCTAAACCCAGCTGCTCCCCTATGGCTTTGTGCTGCCATCAGGCGGCACATCCAGTCTCACCCGCCTGAAGCCTCTCAGATGTGGGACTTGCTGTCCTCAGCTGCAGTGCACAGGACGCTGTAGGACCCGAGGCCCTTGTCCTGCCTAAGAGATTCCTCTAGAGAGGTGTTTACAATAGCACACACACACAATCATCTGCATTTTCAGAGAAGAGACACATCTGCCAGAATCTGACGCGCTCTGGTGACCAAAAACAAGGAGGCTTCTGAAACCCAGAGGGTTGAGGCGGCAGGAAACTTAGCTCCCATTCAGCCGTGCAGGAGAAGCGTTGTACGACAGAGTTCACTGCACTTCCTCAGCCACCAGACCTGCCACCCGTGGGCACAGGAACATGCAGAGAAACTTCTCCACAGCTGCTAAGGCTGAGTCACTAGTGGTAACTTATTCCCCAGTTTATGAAAAGGGGGTGATTTTTAAACTTTTTACAATATATTTAGAATGCTCTGGGTAACAACACATCAATGAACATGTCCATAAATTTTTATTGTCACACTGTGATTGTGCATTTCCTTTCTGTGATCCAATCAGGAAGCAGTCATTTGCATACAAACATTTCATTATCATAACTTCAATAAGCAGAAAATAACTTATCAGAGCACCTGGCAATCAAAAAACAAGAAAAATTCTATAGTCAGTGACAGAAGAGAGAAACAAGGGCACAGACGTGAATAAATGCAGAGAAACATTTCCATTTTTCAATTCTGGTAGTTCAAAGCACTAGCAAACACACAAATGGAAGCTTTACAAGCACATTGTAAGGACTCACCAGAATTTCTACAGATGAGGAAATACGGTATAAAAAGCAACTTGTCCACAACTGTTGGCAAGCAGTTTGGAACAGGAGACGTTCGTTTCCCCTTATAACTATAAAATGAGCTGATGTTACATACGGCAGTGCTGGCATTTTTCAGATCACTGTAGGCCTTGATATAATGTTCTGGTGGCATTTAATGTGCAGAACATGCAAACGTCTTCATTTCACTAGAAACTTCACACAGCCATCAATGTCTGACTTCGCTGGAAGACTAGAGTGGTGTAAGCAACCTCATTCTGGGGATGTGAAAGAAGCCACAAACATTAGAGTGTGCAAGCATCACATCTCAGCGTGAACTTCCCGCTTTTAATTTGTCCTCAACGCTACACACCATAAGCGGTCAGTCTGTCCCTGCACATGGGAAATCTACTAAACGCTATGCTGGATCAGTCCAGTCCCCCATCCTAGCTCAGGATCCTGGGTTGACTCTGCATTAGGGGCTTCCAAAGAATCAATAACATGAACAAAAACTGCAGAAAATCTTGCCCTTTAGAAAGATTTTCCCCTAACTGACCTAATTAGTGGTTAAACCACGACATGTAGCCCCAGAATCCTTGAAATACATGGGGAGTTGGCATTTGAGCCCTGTGATAACAGAGAAGGAATATCTTTCCCTCCTACATGTCGAGGTACCTCCTCAGGTAACTCACTGCAACTGTAAACACAGGCTGAAGCCTTGGATGCACAAAAGAAAGCACTCTTCCTCAGTCAAAAGAATTGTCGACTAACACTTGAGTCTCGCAAGAGCAAACGTCTTTTCTCCCTCCCCCCCCCCCCCACAATTTTTTCCACTCCCCCCCAAACCATCCTCTCAAGAATCTGAAGTCTCTGCATGAAGTATTAGAAATAATAGTTGTGACCTTTACCTGGATGTCCTTAGCAGATTCCTCAGTCGCTGTCTGGGAGGGAACTCGCTCTTGTAAATTTTGGTGGGATCTCTTACACTCTAGGAAGGAGAGGGATACCAGTCTCAGCTGTCTGCTCCGTGTTTGGAGACAGCAGCGCAAGAGAGGCGCAAGAGTGGGGTGACAGAGCAGCACCAGCGAGCGCATGGCTTCGACACAGCTTGTAAAAATCTGTCTCAGACCTTCACTGCAAAGTCAGCAGTTTGGCAGCCCAGGCAGGAGGGTAGCCCCTGCCCCTGCCCACCTGTTGGAAGGGGCTAGGATGAGAGCAGCTGATGAATTTGATGAGAACTTGGTGCGGCCAGTGTTAGGATGAAAAAAAACCAAAACAAACACAACCAACAAAACCCACTACAACTCAGCAGTGATAAACTTAATTCTTCCATGAAAACAGCCCCAGGATGATTCATGAGTAGTTACCACCAGGAATGACCTGTTCATCAATACATCCATTATTCAAGGGACACATAATTTGAGCCTCTTTCAGAGTAGCTTCTGCAGAAGTTACTTTGAAACCCTAGTGCTGTAAGATGCAGCCCAAAGAGCATGGAAACTTAGCACCATCCGTCTCAAGATGTGCAGCACAAGATGTTAAGCACTCCTCTGCCACCAGGTCTGGATCATCACGCTGCCGTTACTCCCTCTACTATGCCACTTACTTCCTCTGATGATGTAGATGATTGCAAAGACCAGAACAGTCAACAAGATGCCGGAGATAAAGGCTAACGATATGTAGAGTATTTCATAGCTGTTGATACACAGAAAATAGTCTCAGAATCCCCAGTTTTAACAGAGGTGTTGAAGAATCAGCAGTGCTCAAATTCACCAAGCTTTATGAAGTGCACTACATCATTTATCCCAAGCCTCATGAGATTAAAAGGTGCATATCTGCATTAAGCATCACTATGAATTAAATATCTAGTGCACAGACTAGGAAATTCTAAGCAACCTTTTAAAACCCTAAGACATAAAACCTATTACATGTAACTCCTCCTGCAAGAAGGAGTCTGCAGTCTCAAGGAACTCTGTGTTTGAAGTCAGGAAATAAAGGTGGAACATTTACATATCAATCCAGTATTGGACTTCTGGAGCTCTTAAGTCAGCCGCAGAGGTATATACAGTGGTACGTACAGTGACAGTAGTGGAAATGGGTTCCGGCGTAACTGGAAGTGAATAGAAAAAAAAATATCAAAACCTGGTTTTAAACGTGTTGATTTCTCCAGTAATATTACAAGCAACAAGAACTACATAGAGGCACACGCCTATTCCAGTAAGTATTATTGTAAGTGTAACATTTCTCTATCAGAGGGCTGAAAGTAAAAACACCAGAGAAATTTAGTTACTCATGTTATTACTGTCCCACAGTGTCCTTCGGCAGCCATGCAGTTCTTCCCCAAATGCATACATCTGCTAAGCTACCCCCACAGCAGCCCGTTTTGAATCAGGGCAATATCAACTTAGTCAAGAATACTGCATCTAAGAAAATTCTCTAAAGAAGAAAATACCTGCATTTGCTTTTGAGGCTCTACTTCCCATTCTCTCCAAACACTAATGAACTGTAAGAGAAGCTAAAAGGAGGGGAGGGGGAAGAGAGAGTTATACACACACACGAGAACAAAACAAACCGACCACCTTCTTCTAACTCCCAGGCTTTATTTAGTTTTTGTCAGTTTCAGACATCTCATACAAACCGGCACAGAGTCACAGCAGCAAACCCAGCAATTACTCAGCACGAATCCTACTTCCCAAGGTCTTCCTGCCCCTGTGCACGCACAGGCGTGTTCACTATGCTTTGATGAACGCGCTGCCTTCTTTCAGAAGGATCGAGTATATTTAATAACTAAAAAAGCACCCACAGTATTATTTTTGCAGCAGCTAGAGCTGAGTGAACATTTTCATAATCAGAAGCAGCTTTGACAAAATGCCCCTTTAAGTTTTTCTTCCTCAAGTTACACTGACTTTTTCCACCAAAGCAGGAGCGGTAACAGGAGCGATAACTTTCTTCTCAAATTTGGGGGTGGAATCTTACAGATAGGGAAGTACCAGTCTACTAAAAAACTCCTACCCCGGTATTTCTCACTACATGGCTTGCAAACTGCACAGTGTTAATAACATGGAAGTATTACCAACAACATGAAAGTAAACATCCTGTTACCATCGTCTTTTTCTGCTGCATGCCCACTGCCGCCCGCATTCCACAAGAGTCAGACACCTGAGGCCTCCCAGTTTCCTACACCAAGTCTAAAAGCGCGTTGTTTGCAGTAAGAGAAGTAACGGCAGTAAGCGATACACCGTCTTACCTCGCACGGTAGGACTGCTGCCCACCTCCTGGTTGAAGACTCCTGAAGCGTTAGCGGGGCAGTTTAACCATGGGCTTTGTGAAAAGCATCTCTGTCAAAACTAGTTAAAGCTCACGTGTCATTCAAATGTGGGGTTACACAGATGTGGAAGTTGAGCAACTTCACTTTATTAAAGTAACAGGAAACTACAAAAGACACCTGCATTCTCAGGAACTGTTGATCTAAAAAAAAAGTAAGCGAACGATCTGAAGCTGCCTTTAAGTAAGGTTCTTAACTCTAAAGTACACCATTTTTGCTGAACTGTTGTATTAAAAAGCATAGAAAACTGTGCTATTTTACTAACTCCACTGAAAATAAGCATTTCCTCACTCTAGTACCAATCCGCGTAAGAGAGGCATGTAAGCACACCCTAGTCTGCTTACTTAAGTTTATGTACTAAATAAATCACTTCCCAACACAGAAAGGATGAGATTACACATAGGCAAGTGCTTTGCTCAGCTGGGACATTTGAGATATAACAAAATCCTTCAGGGAAAAAGTTTCCTATAAAAAAAATGAAAATGCTTATACTGTGTATTATCATAATACACATAAAACCATTTTCCTTCTTACACAAAAAAGGAAAAAGCAACTTTTTTTTTCTATGAAAGTCTAGCAAAAAACCCACCACCCTCTAGAATAAACTTATCCATTTCACTGTTTTAAACGTGATACTGGCGAGTTCAGTTGAAGCCAAGTTTTCCGGTAGCTTTTGGTACGCTTCCTGCCAGCTACATCCTCTTTTTTAGAGAGCAGAATAATGCTTTCATTACTATTTGAAGCTTTGTTATGAAAGTGGTTTTTCCAGTTCTTTTTTAGAACGAGGACACTGAACTCAGGGCACCTCCAAGTATTGGACTAGGTGAATGGAAGCACCGGCTCTCATTCTGATTTTAGAACATGTTTACAGTTACGGTAGATATCTATATGTCATTATCACACAGAATTCTAAAACAAAAACTGATCACTGTATTAGCACCAGAATTTTTCACTGCGAAGTTCTGTATCTTGTCTCTGGAAGCGTTCAGGACCAAAGAAGGAACCAAACAGAATCATACGTACTGTAGTTGCAAATAATCCCCCAGATTAAATTAACTGTAGTGGTTTACAAGACCAATCTAGCTACTTCAAACATAAAAAGGAAATTACTGTTGCTACTGCTAGTGAAAGACAGCAGAGTGGTTTGTTTGTTTGTTTAATGATGCTTCAGAATCATACAGTTTCCAACAGTAAGTAACGAGACACGTCAGTGGAATCAGACATGGTTACACTGCTGCCTGTGCACTCTTCGATAATGCCTTCAGGTCCAAAATGCACTTTGCGATACTCTCCTTCTGCTGCAAAAGAACGGAAAACAGCTTTCAGAAGAAAGACTTTATGGAAGACATTTAAACAAGCAAAGTATGCATTCTAATGCATTTCAGATACTCCTTTTTAGACCCATGAAATGAGTTACAGATTAAAAGGTATATAAATATAGCTCACAAAGTCAGAGATTCACATCCAAACAATAGCCTGCATTAAAGCACCTGCATGCAGTGCTAGGAACACTTTTTCTTTTTTTGTTGTTACCAGCTTCATTCCTTAAAAGAAAGGACATCTAGAGCCCATCTGCAGATCTTAAGCTGCCACGGTCTTACACGGAGAGTTTTACAAGTGAGTTCCCTGACCTGTTAGCTATCCACCTTATCACAAGCTTAGCTCTACGCTGCAACAAACACCACACGTGATTTACCTTAAATCACCAGCAACACAAGCATCTGGTACCTAGTAACTGGGCTTGTTAGCTCTTACTCAGCAGTAGGAATGCGTTGCAGCCACATTTGGAAGTCACCCAAAGATGACCTATCATCTTCTGGCTTAAGCCAGAATCACCAGACAGCAAATATTTGTGCTGACTAAAATGTAAAGCAGATTTAAAAAAAAAAAAGCAGCAAGTACCTGTTGAGGTGTGATGCTCTGAACAACATTTTTCTCCACCCAGTGAATCATGTGATCTTGTTCTTTCTGACGCTTTAAATTCTGCATAGCCACTTGATAGTCCAGCCTTTTCTTTACTTCATTGTACACTGTCAGTAATCTTTCTCGATAATTAGTTTCCAGCAACATAGCAATGTTATTCTAGACACAGAATATGAAATCAAAGGGTTAGCATTTGGCAAGAACGCAGAACAGCAGCAGAACACATTCTATAGCAAAAGTCACTGGATCAGGTGGTGGAACCGGCCCTGTCCACAACACACTGAGGGTAAATGGTTTGTTAACTTGCTAGCGATTTAAGAGGCACCCAGGTTACGTAGCAGAGACTGCAGCGGGAGTGAACAGTAGAGCTGGAACTGCGTACCCGCTTGGCGTCAAAGAGGTAATTGCGGCCCTCAACCCGCCATTGCTCCTTCTTCTCCCGTTCGATGGCAGTCTCAAGATCTTTAATAGCTTCATTTTTCACAGCTAAAGCTTTAGCAACTTTCTCCTGGACGAAGAAACAAAAAATATGCTTCAGAACGAAAGCAAGATGCAAGGAAAACAAGTGATCTGTAATTAACTTCTGAAATTCTGCATTAAGATTTGAGAAATGTCTGCATAAACTGGACTGTGCCAGGGTTGAGGTTAAAGGATGGCAAGACAGAAGAATTAGGGTTCACAATCAATTGTATTTTAAAAAAAAATTATTTCGTGCTGGTATGAAGTGTTTTATTTTTGAAGACTTATTGTAACAACACCAACATAAGACCTAACACATACCTTATTTAAGCAACATTCTGAACATATTAGACTCAGATTTTTTTATGAGAGCCTGGACACAGTATTCTTTTAAATATTTAAGCAGGTAATTTAGAATAGTTATTAACTACTACAAACTTAGATTATGGTTTCTTTTGTTACCTCATTAAGTTTGTCTGCAAAAGCTGCTACGTCAGAGCCATATTTTTTTACGCCATAAATGATGACTGACAATATGCAGGCAGCTGCAACTGTCTCATGGTTAATTACATAGATTTCCTTAGAGAGAAGGTAAAGCACGAGTCCAGTTCCCAACATGTAAGGCCCTAAAGAAAAAATAAAGCAGCAATATTTGTACAAAGCATAAAGATGCTCACCAAAGTCAAACACCTAAGAGGTAGCTAGTTTAAGGCTTACAAGAAGAAGTGTTCTCTTTTACCACGACAAAAAGTAGAACCCAATACCACCAAGGGGAAGGGTGCCGTGAGAACGCTCACCAGAAGTGGAAGCAACTTGCACCTTGCATGGGACCTGCTGCTTCTGCTCATTCAGAAACAGACAAAAACCTCTGTTTAAAGGTTTTGAGGGCCAGCAGGCAAATAAATCTCCCTGCAAGATCAAGCTCACGACAGTCTTTTAGCCTTTAAAGCACAGATGCCTAGCTTTAAAGCCAGGACGTGCTGCACTGGCTCAATTCTTCACAACTTCCTTCTGCATATGCAAAAAATAATTTTCCCTAGTATTTTACCTTTTCAGCAGCCAGAAGTGATGGACAGAACTAAATAAGCATAACTAAACACACATTAAAAAAAAAAAGTATATGTTAACCTGTGACTCCTGTTTTAGGATAGAGAAACTGGAAAAACTCCTCAGGGATCAAACCATAACGTACTTCTCCTCCTTTCTCAGGCAGAGGTGGCAAAGGAGCCAAACACTGCTGAGTTGTATGCAGCGGTCTTGAGGTGTGTAATACGCTACAAATAATGAGAAAGTTTCCATTAAGCTTCTTAAAAAAACCCAGCCTTAGATGAGACTCAAACACAGTTCCAATTAAAGCGGTAGGCATTAATTTGACACGCCTCCTGTGAGGAAGTGGGCGGGACTAGATAACCTCCAGAGGTTCCTTCCGACAGTAACTATTTTATAAGCCCACAACATTAATTAGGCACGTAAAGACAAAACCCCGGAATAACGTTATTTAAAGACAACGACTGGCAGGTTCCTGAGGCGCTCCCCGGCC